GGGCGAGAGGTCTGCAGACTCGAACTGATTAATGGAGCCCTGCACCTCCATTGCTGTCCTCACTTAATGAAACTAGGTCAGAGAAGCCTCTCTCGTGGATGAGATTTTTTAGCTTGAGGGTCTTCTTCGACGTTGTTGCACCTGTCCAGTAAATCATATAGTGAGCGATCTTGGAGACTAGCTATTGAGGGGTAGAGATTGAGCCTGTGTGAATAAGGTTATTACGTTCTCTCCATAAGACCCAATAGATGGTAGGGAAGCATAGACCCCATAGTTTCCACACTGTAGTCTACACAGACCCATCGAGGCATATATCGAAGCACTCCTTGGTATGTAGGGGGAGGGATGCAATGCTAATTCTAGGAAGGAAAGATGCCCAAACTTGTTTGGTGAATTGGCAAGAGAGAAAGAGGTGGTCGTGTGATTCCTGGTCATTACAAAAGGAGTAGGATGTGTCTCCTATCCAACATTTATTGAGAAGCCTGTCCTTGGTCTTCAGTTTAGCCATAAAGAGCAGTCAAAGGAAAAACCTAACTCTGCTTGGTAGCAAGTTGTTCCAGATGACAGATCAATGAGGATTATGAAGACCTCCATCGGATAGGATGGAGTAAAGAGATTTGATTGTAAAGATCCCAAAGTTATTGAGGGGCCAATGGACCATGTCAGTGTTGAGAGAGGGACGGACGTTACTAGACGTTAACAGCTGGTCAAGATCTTGAACTTGTACTCTTTCAATAGCCTGAATAGGTCTCTTGATGATGGGTCTCCATATCGAGTTGTCCCCTTGAAATCTCCCTTGAGATTCAATGGGGACGTGCTTAGAGAAGGCGAAGTTGTAAGCTAGAGGGAAGAGACTAGCGAGAGAATTGTCTCCTACCCACCTGTCCTCCCAAAAGAGGATCATAAGTCCATTACCTAGATGTCACTTGACAATGTATGTGAAGGATTGGTAGCAAGAATGTACGTCCTTCCAAATTTAGAGCATTGATTACTAGGAGGTGTGCTACGAGGGGTGGATGTGTATATGGATTGAAGAACCAGAACAACATGGTTATCCATAGTAAAGTATTTCCAAAGCCATTTAGATAATAGGGAGATGTTAAAGAGTTGAAGGTTGGAGATACCCAAGCCCCCGCATGGTTTTGGAGAGTATGCTTTTTTCCATTTAACTAAAGATTTAAAAACAGTTCCCAAACGTTTCATATTTAAAGTAGTCTCCCAATCATTCATATTTTGTAATCTTTGAGGAGTTTTAAAATTCCATTGTTACATTTAACACCCAAATTGTTAACAACAAGTGGGTGGTTAATGAAGGATGAGTAATTATTGAATTTACCAAATCAACCGAAATAAATATGAAAATCAACCAAAATCAAGCTCGAAATTAATGAAATTGGCTTTATTTTCACATAATCTTCTCCAATTTAGGCTCTAGCAAAGTTTATTTCGGAACTTGTATGGGTATAACTGCATCACATCCCAAAATATTAAATATGATGAAGTATTCTCTCAACTTTGACAAGCTTCTATTAGAGGGAATAATTTCAAATTACTTTAAAGATATGAAGGATTAATATGGAAAACTCTATGTATATACACATATCATATTTTCATGTAAATTTCTTTGCATTACAAGTAAAATAGGGAGATGGTGCTTCAACTTTCATGTATTTTTGTATTTAACATTAGAACTGTGAAATATGTTTATATTTTCATGTGGTTTTACAGTTTGTGATGGAATTGTGATTTGGGGATTCTTTCATTTGTCACATTTTTAATATGAAACTTTAGAAAATTGAAGCATGTTGATTCATTTATTACGGTAGGTGCATAAGCTAAAATAATTTAAGCATTAGCAAAAATATATTTTTTTTAAAATGTTTACTTTAGATTCTTCTTTCACCTAATTACATATTGAAACTTTATTAAATATTGTGATTCTTGATCAATATTTGGTTGATGTATAATCGTTGTACTTTGGCCCCCTTACAAAAAAAATTCTTTGCTCCGTCACTGGCCAAACTGATCCTAATTATCATAGGATCATGCATGAGACAAGATGACACAAGTAATTTCCATTTGATTTATTGAAATTCTATTTTAAATCAACGAATTAACTAAGGGGATACTTCACTTACAAGTTCCTTGTGGGTCCGATGAAATTGGGTTAAAAAAAAGAATTTCTCTATTATATACGAGCATAAAACCAAGGGATAATTTAACAAACCCTCTCACCCCGGGAATTTCACACATACATATCCTAACTTTATTTTTATTTTTCTAACAAACCCTCATATTTTGGGTCTCTTACAAGCCAAACCTTGATTTAAACTTTTCTCGTCGGACCCCTATCTATAATCGACAAAAAGCTATAATATCTTCGAGGAAAAATACCTGTAACTGGAGAAAGGGGTTTGCAGGCTATAAATGGCAAATAAATAAATTTAGGATTTTTTTCTCCCACACTATTTGCCAATTACATGTACATGGGTCTACTGAGAAAAAATTGGAGTTTCTGAGATGAAAAATTTCAGGAGCATTATGTGCAAAACCCCGTAAAGTTCATGGGAGGTTTCGTTAAACGAAAACTAAATATTACTCGATCTCAAGTTATCCAAGTATTTGAAAAAGGAAATAAAATAAAACAAAAAGAATTATATCCATTATCAATAAGATCCCTTAAAGAGGGTCTCGGACAGACTTGAGAAGGTCAGATCCGACCCGCATAGCCTTATCGGACACGCTAAACCAGGATCCTGAACCCGTTCGAGCGACGGATCGATGGAAACCTACGGTTGACAAAACTCCGCGCTTAGATATTTCTTTTCGTCGGAAAATAACTCCTCAAAATTTCCTCTTCACTCTCATCTCTCTCTCTCTCTCTCTCTCTCTCTCTCTCTCTCTCTCCCCCTCTAAAAAAATCTCATCAAGAATTAGGGTTTTTGCTCTCGAGCTCTTTATCCCTCTTTCTCTCTCTGGAACCAGCAATGTCCTCGGCCTCATGCGAGCTGCAGTTCTGCTGGCCCTATGTCAGTCGTCAATGTTCGCCTACAGAAACAGAGATTTTGGTAATGGCTTTTGTTCTTGCATTTCTCTTAATTTCGTGCAAAAAACAGTTATCCTTTTTGTGAATTGTTTTAGTTTTTAAGGTCTAGGGTTTTGGAAGTCTGGTTAAAATTGGGAAAAGTTTGGATAAGGTTATTCACTGGATTAGTGGTTTTTGAATAATCTGTTGAAGAGTTGGATTTGAATGACAATATTAGGATATTTCTGGTCTCACATTTGGAAAACGGATGGAACGGTATGGTAGAGGAGACGGTGGGTAAGTTTACATTTTGATTGGGTATTTGGATTTTGAACACGATTTCAAAAAGCCGAATGTGGTCAGTGTTTAACAAAAGATTGCAATATAGGGAAGAAAACTCTAGTAGAAAAAGATGTTCATCTATGTGATATGCGAAAAGCCAAAAACGTGGCTTCCAGTTTTTGCGAGTTGCAGTGGAAATATCAGGAGATACTTAGGGATGAGCTTATAAGTTGTACTGAGTTGAAATGCTTTCACAAATGCTAGTTCAATAGTCAAGCAGCTGAGATTTAAACACAGTACATGTTATTGCAGTGGTATTTATTAAATACCAGCCCCAACAAATATGTGCATTTTGCGGTAATATAATTACTAGGCTCAGACCAAATTGATGCCTTAGGACTAACCAATTATTAGGTCGAATTCAAGCCTGAGCGCAGTCAGACATCGTGCACGGTGAAGTGTGGGTGCATCTTGCACAAGGAGGTTTGTAGTGAGATCAAATTGTGTGTTAGAGGAAGCGTAGGAAAGATGTTCTCCTTTCGATGCGAAAGACATCAATAGGCAGACAGACAAGCACCACCAACAAAGTTGCAGTCTTTATGTGTAGACTGTAGATACAATTCAGATTAAAGAAGAACACAAGGTATTTGTTCGAAGCAACTACAAAATTTCCAATCAATAATCTGAGAAGAAAACAAAACTTGGATGACCACCCTACCTCCTAAAAGCCTAAGAACCTTTAAGAACAATTCTCCACTTTATTCTTTCTAACCATAGAGATCTCAAAGAAACCATGCCTTACTCTCTCCATCATGATGTAGTTATAGACATATGCATCCTGTTCCTAATCGGAAACACACAGAGAATCTTAGTTGTACTAGATTTCACAAATAGAATCCTCGTTGAACTAGAATGACAAATGTAATTTTTTTTCCCACCTTGGAGAACCACAAGAGTCCTTCAACAAGGAATCTTAATTAAAAGTGACTATTTAGGGCCAGTTTGGTATTTCTGGAGCTTAGCTCAACTTATATAAGCTACTGAAATAACCATCTAGTATTCAAATATCATAATCTACTTTAAGAAACAATTAAGGTGTTTGGTAAATCTATGCTTCTATATCATTAAAGTTTTATATGTGAAAATGACCAAAACCGACATAATTTTAGCCACAAAATAGACAATATAAGCAGAACCAGTATTTAAATAAAAAAAGATGGCCCTTAAAATGTGAATTCGAGTTACAGATCCTAACAACATGCAGCTGCACTCTTTTCTTAAATTTGTCTAAAAATTGTTATCTTTTAATTCAATCTCCCTGCAGAAACGTTTCACTTCCTGTTTCTCTTAAATTTGTTTAAGAAAAGAAAATACTATCTTCTCTAGGTCTTAGGGTAGAGTTTGGGAATTAATACTATCTTTCAATCACCCGAGTGAAGTATTCAGAAATTACTTGAATTATTTTATAAATGACATGTCCTATTCAGCCATGTGAAGCAGTCGAATGTATAAGCAGAATCTTGCTGGTGTGTGTAATTCTTGTTTCCTACATGCATTTAAATCACACACCAGCATGGTCACACACTAGGATGTTGATTACTTCTTGCTGAATCCTTTCACTATGATTCAGGACCTGTGTTTATAAGACCATGTTCCATGTTCATTTAGTCCGATCATTATATTAATGTTTTGGCAGGTATATGTACTTCACGACCTCTTTTCAGAAGCCATTTATATGTTCCAAGGATTCAACTCTTAGTATATGGGAAGACCCCACACATACCCTCTATTGTGAAACAAAAACGGTTGGGTTGTGGATGGGAAGGCTACAATCACATACCTAGGAGATCCACTTTTGAAGACAGGTATCCTGAGAAGGGAAAGACAAGTCTTGTTAAAGCAATTGCTACTGTTGAAGCAGAAGTCTCTGTAACGAGTGATAATGACCAGAGAAGTCACAGTTTGCAATTTGATTTTAACTCGGAGTCTCAAGGACTTCATGTTTCAGATGATGACTCTATTGATAAGGATGAAAAAGAAAGGTTACGGAGAATGAGAATCTCGAAGGCAAACAAGGGAAATGTTCCATGGAACAAGGGCAGGAAACATAGTCCAGGTAGGAAATTTCAGTTCCTATTTCATACGGTTTAATCCTTCTAATCTCTTTTGTATCTGTAAATGTTCCCAGTTGTGCTCATTATTTCTTTAAAATATGCCTGCAGAAACTCTTCAGAGAATACGAGAAAGGACCAAACTAGCAATGCAGGACCCCAAGGTGATGTCATGTAAGAAAAATGCAAATTATTGTTAACTATTATCTGAAAGGATATTTAACATCAGAAGAACAATAGTTGGGCATGGAGAGTTATTATGCCAGAGACATATTTCTATGTTTAATATACTCTATTTTCTGCTGTAACCATTGTATAAATTGTAGGGGTCTTCTCTCAAGTATATTATGCTAAATGGAAAAATTAGAGCAGATAGTTACAGATTTCTCAATAATGTTTATGCTTTATTGTTCTACAAAAATATCTCAATTGCTAAGTTTCCTGAAGGTTTTTTTCTGTTTGGTAGAAACTGATTGAAGAAAATGAGTCATGTATCCAACCTCAAAAGTTTGGATGAAGCTTTTGTTTGTTTCTCTACCTGATAGAAAAAGTAATCAAGTATATTGAGAATGTATTTCGCCTACCATCAGGTGTAGGTTCTTATATATCTTGCATGTCCCTATAAGTTTGTGTGCCAACTCTTCTTAGTTTTGGCAATGAAAATTCAGAATCATGATTTTTCCTTGTATCACCTCATGCCTTCTTATGTGTAAATTATGCGAACATGCTATTGATAGAGTTATTTGTCATGCAAATTAGACGGAACTATTCAATTCTTATTAAAGTTTTGGCATGCAGGTTAAAATGAAGTTAATGAATTTGGGTCATGCTCAGAGGTAGGTTACCCTTTCAAATATTTTCTATTGAGATTTCATATTAATTTTTGCTTTGCAGTCTGGTTTCTTTTCAAAGTACCATTGATAGTATATGAAAAGTAAATGCCAATTCCCATATTTTATTCAACTAATTGAGTCATTAGTGTCTGTTGTACAAATGCCTTTGTGTTAGTTTTGAATACTTTCTTCAATTTAATCTCTTCAGTCTTGATTACTTTTTCCTTAACAACTTAATCTACTATATAAGGGTAAACACAATGAATGTTTCCTACCTTCGTTGCTCCATATCTTAATATTTGGGTGACCATTCTTTTCGAAAGAACTCTTGCATTTTATTTATGTTTGTGGCGCAGTTGCACGCTTTATGTCACAAAGATATCATTACTTTGTCAAAGAATCATATGCAAACGAAGCGAAATGAAGAGGGAGTTTGTAGTAGAAGCAACAAGAAGTTTGTCATATAAGTAAAACCTCTTTATTACACAAAACGGGTAGATGACCAAGATATCATACTCTCCTAAGTAAATGGTTTTCAGTTTGATTATCACACAACAGGAAAATCAAGTGCCGTTTTATTGGAATGAGACAGAATGACTAGCGGGACAGCTGAGCGTGCGTGGCTCCTGCTTCAGCCCGGTATCAGTCTCTTGGACATGATGGGCCCAGTTGTTGTGCCCAGATTAATTTTCTTTTCTGCATTTTGATCTGTCTTTCAGCACGAAATGTTTGATGTCTTACAATATTATTTAATAAAATTATTTGTTTCTTTTAATATTTAGTTTGACAAATATTTCTAACATTATTACTCAGTTCGACGTGTATTGCATTGTGTAAAAATAGAGCATTAAAACAACAGTTACTGAATATTGAAAATATACATTAAAAACATTTTCTTAAAAATAGTTAATTAAATGAAGTGGGCCAGGGAGGGAACCCCTCCGTTCCTATCCTGCTTCCGGGCCATGCGGGTCAATTGGACATGATGGGCTTGATTTCTGAGAAAAAGGGATGGGATAAAACAGGCCACAGGACTGTCCATCTCATACATTGGCCCACATAGGGTACGGGATGGTTGTCCCGGCCCGGCCTTTATAACACTCTTGCGCAGCATGATATGTGTGAGGTTTTAGGTTGGTGCTCTTGGAGGCTTGGATACCTTGCATAAAAATGTAAAGGAAAGGTCAGTCACTTACCTTTTTGATAATTCCCATGTGGAACAAATTTTTGGAATGTAGAAGAATTCATTACAAATAGACAAAATTCCCCTTTTCTCCATTTACTTTATCAAATACTATTGAAAATAATATAAGTTGTTTGATTGAATTCATTTAAAACGCTAGATACATGCAGATGATCCTCAAAATTTAATAGTTTTGCATCTTATACCTGGTTCCCTATATCATAACATGCCCGTGCTACTTCAGGAACTAGGCTAACCTGAAATGTATTACTGGCCTTGAAATATTAATGCCATATCCAACTAGTTCAGCTTGACTTCACCTAGCTTGTTCTCGTTTTCTTTTGCCAAGTTCTTGACATGGAATTGTAACCATAATCTTGCTACGTTTATGCAGTGAGGAGACGAGGATAAAAATTGGAGCTGGAGTCCGGGAGGGCTGGCAGCGACGTCGTGAAATGTTGATGGTTCAAGAAGGCTGTTTGTTTGAATGGCAAAACATTGTTGCTGAAGCATCTCGGAAAGGTTATGCCAGTGAAGATGAACTGGAATGGGATTCATACAAGATCATAGATGAGCAGCTGAAACAAGAGTGGTTGGAGAGCGTTGAGAAGAGGAAGATGATGCCTAGGCCTAAAGGTAGCAAAAGAGCACCAAAATCCCCGGAGCAGAGAAGGAAGATTTCAGAGGCCATTTCTGCCAAGTGGGCAGATCCTGTAAGGGCAAACTTAATTCAGACTTTTTGTTGTCTCTGTTTTATGCTGTTGGATGCTTCTTTTACCCACTCTTTTTTTCCTTTCATACTACTATACTAGGAATACCGAGGTCGGGTTTTTTCTGCACTTGCAAAGTATCATGGTGTACCTGTTGGAGTTGGAAGAAAACAAAGAAGAAGATCACCTGGTGAAACTTCATCTGTAAAAAGAGAAGGTGTGAAGAGGAAATCTAAACCTAAAGGAACTGATGATGAGGCTAAAAGTGTCAAGAAAGTTCCATCTAGGAGAAAGAGGAATGCCACCCCTTCATACAAAGATCCATTGGCCAGTTCCAAGTTGGAAATGATCAGAAAAATCAGGGCGGAAAGGGCGGCAATGGAAAATAAAAAGAGAGAAGCCACTGAAAGGGCAAAGTAAGTCTTGTTATATATAATACTGTTTCATGAATACCTTTTCTTTTGCACCTCTTAATCTTTGGGAGTTATCTCTCACACATGCTTCCGAAGGTTGACGTTCTTTAGTCCATGTCGATCCTCCACTTATATTTGTGAATGGTGATACTACACCTATGTCTCTACTCTGATTAGATAATTAAGCAAATGCTCATTCTTTCTCTAGATGCTTTGAAGCTGAGCCTGAGTTGTATTCGAGTATATCTTCAATTTCATTTGCAATCAGATAGCAACAAGTTTTAAGGACATAGCTTTAATTTTCATCACGCTTATGTGTGCATGCAAGTGCACACAGCCATCCACTCACCCACCCACCCACGAAAACACACACACACACACACATCAGAATTTTAGCGTGAGAAAATTACAAACATCAAAAGGTTAAGCAAGAAACCGCAGTAAGGCTGCTCACTAGGGGTTCATTGTTAAAAATACATATCATTTAACCTGTCATCCTTAATTTCTCATTTTTCATCTCAAGATACAACTGTTTTATTGTGTCTGGCTTTGTGTAAACTAGAGCAACCCATTTTACTTACTCTCCTAATTGGTTTATTCAGACTACTGATCGCCGAAGCAGAGAAGGCTGCTAAAGCTCTTGAGGTGGCTGCACTAAAGAGCCCTCTTGCCCAAGCATCACTTATTGAAACCAGGAAGCTGATTGCAGAGGCAACCAGATCAATTGAAAGCATAGAGAGTGGACAGCTCACATCACATGACTCTGGAGATGAAGCTTCTTTTACCCCTGATGCAACAGTAAACCATTTTCAATCTAGTCATGAATCACTCAACAGAGAAACAGTTTTAGATGAACGAATAGTGGATGGCTTACATCTCGAAAAATCATGTGAGACAAGATATGATTCATCCAATCAGCGTAACTATAAAGGCGATGCTGGTGGTAGATTAACACTTCAGAATGCACCAGAAGCTGGAAATCCATTGACCTCAACAAGTAGAGAAGAGTTTAACAATGTCCAAGATGATTCTGGTGTAAAAGATTTACAAGTGAACCAACCTCATATCAATGGCTCTATCAAGTACATAAAACCACTGCCTGAAAGAGAGCGGACATCGAAATCCAAGGAGGGCAAGGGGACCAGATCTGCATCCAAAACTAAAAAGTGGGTGTGTGGTAGGTTGGTCGAAGTAGATGAATAAATAGTGGTTAAAGAAAAATGTGGTAGGATGCAGCGAAAGGTATTTCTTGAAACACAAACATTTTGATACGTAAATTGCCCTCATAGGTTACAGTCCTGGTCCTCACGAATATTCTGAGATATGGTTTACTTTTCTGTATAGGGGAAATTTGGCCAATGTATGTACTGTAAATGTTTCTGTTGCAGTGGAAAGATTGTTCAGGACTTTAGCTGATCAGCAAAGGAAATGCAGTCTTAGGCTACTTAGTCACGATGGAAGTTCAATATATAGATGTTTGTACATGTGTTTTAAGCTGTTATTTAGACATTGCAGATATATGCGTAGTGTTGTTTTCGCATGAATCGATTTTCAGAATGCGATCAACTCTCTTTTATGCTTGTATCTGAGGACATTTGCTGTTTCAACCGTTCATGTCGCTAGATCACCATCCAGTGTTAGCATATTAGTTATAAAGACACATGATTATTCTATCTTCTATATGTGCATCAGATGCCTGGAATGCTTCATGCTGAAATCTAGTTGCTTGATTCTTGATTCTGAGACGCTGGTGGAAATTTTGCCCAAAAAGCCAATCCCTGAGATGCTTCTTCAAGAAATTATTGATTCTATGACTTGATAATATTTCTTTTTAATTGTTCGGATGCTGATGCTGACTATTTCATCTCGTGTTCATTTTTATGTTGTGGAAAAAGAAGAGAAAATGGGACATGATAAATCTTTGTGCTACTGTTCATCTATGTGGTAAAAACCAAAGATAATTGTTTCAAATATTTTGATAAATATCATACTCAAATTCCAAAATTCCAATTGTTGTTGAAGCCTCGTTTTAATTACTGTATACTCACATGTTGAGATCCTGTTTAATTGAGTCCATCTATAGCTATCTTTAAGTCGTAATTATATATTTGCAAGTCGCAGTATTTTGACCATCGCTAGCTACGATTCAACTTCTGTGTTCTCTCTCTCTCTCTCTCTCTCTCTCTCTCTCTCTCTCTCTCTCTCTCTCTCTCTCTCTCTCTTTGTGGAGTCAAGCAAAATCCACCTTAGTTAGATTTATTTAATTGACGAGTATATTATGTGTCTGATTTCTAACGTTAGATGCCTCTCTCCTCCTCTGATCACTTGGTGTAGATCGAACCATATATATCATTCCCATATGTGGGATTAATAGCCTCATATAACAAGGATATACATTTTTTTTCTTCTCTTGTTAATATTATTTAGTTACTAATCTTACCGAGAAGATCGATCATATTTTAATCTATGAGTAACATAACCTAATTTGTACTCCCATCATTAAGTAACAACAAATCACCAAATTGTTAATAGTAATCTCTGGCAAGAGATCGACGAAGCAACTCCAAAATGATGAGTAATCTGACATTAGATATTAACGTACAAGAAGCCTTTATAAACGTGCAGGTAATTAGGATTACATTAAATTAACATAAGTTTTGAGTTAATTAGGTCTTTGAACTCTAAATTAAGTACCAAGTAGTAAAAAGACAGCAGTACTCTCTTGCCAGAGAAGAAGCAACTTCAAAAACAAAATGATAGCTAAACATGCCCTGTTTTGGTGCTTCGGAGTACAAAAACCTAACTCCATAAATGTGCAGCTAATTAATTAAGAGCGCATTAAAGCTAAATAAGCCATATGGTGCACACGTACGCAACAGTTTGGTTCAATGCTTGCATCAGTAGCTTAATTGTCTACACACAACATGTTTCCGACCAACTAGATCCTTGACATGACTTCACCCTGCGAGTTCCATTAGATCATCAGAGAGCTTCATGTTTGAAACCATACGAGATCAGTATATATGTACACCAGCTAGCTATTATATTGCTACAGTCGTTATGTGATGTCATGCAAGCGGAGCCAGGCCTGTAAATAATTAAACAGACCATTTTTTTTCCTTTTTCCAAAAAGAAAAAGAAAAAATCATTCCTAGCTCATAAAAGCTATAATAAAGTTTTAGCTCTAGCGTGTTATCAAATAGTTTCCCTATTAATATGCAAGAAACGATGCCTTTGTGCAGGTTGGTGGTGTTCAATACCTGTGTTTTGGAATGGAATTTCCTCTGTACAATGGACAGTTCGAGAGAGAGAGAGAGAGAGGAGCTGGTAGGCCTTCAAATTTGAATGTGGGGAGAGGGAGATTTAACACAGGAACTTAGCAGTGATGCATGCAGGAGGCGAATGCAAGATATGGGCTGGTTGTCTCATGTACTCTATGCTAACTAGTATGGTAGTTAATGGCATGCAGAGAGAGAGAGAAGAGGACGAGGAAGCAGAGGAAGAGAAGAGGTTTTCTTAGGCAGCAGTAGATGTAGCACGGTTCTCATGTAATCGATGATAACAGTAGTGTACAAGTTGCAAAGTCATGCGTGAGAAGAGGATATTTTATAATAAAATATATATATATATAATAATATATAGATATAAAAAAATGTGTAGTTTGGTGCCAAAACACAGTTTTTGTGTTATAGTGTCGAGCATACATATTTCACATTCTTAAATCACGACCCCCACATTCCACATGCGTTGAGAGTGTTGAGAATTGGAATAATTGGATTGAAAATATGACAACGCCAATACAAGCAACTTATTTGCTTGTAGCAGAACCCATTTTCTCAATATATATATATATATATATAGTCATATATATATAATTATATATATATAATATATATATATATATATATATATATACATAAACCGGGTTCCAATCGGAAACATAATTTGCTTAAAAATCTGAATCAATACTTAAGTAAACTACTTTTGTTACGCCAATTTTGCGCCTTAAAAAAGTTTGTTTTGTTTTGTTAGGACAATTTCGCCTTAAAATTGTTTTATTCCACCTTCTCAGGTCCAGGAGTAAAGTACTGGTTTAGGGGAGAGGGTTGCCAAATTGACCTTATAGGGAGAAAAAAAAAAGGATCTTTCACTAGCCCAAGAAGTAACATATATAGTAGATATTTCCTATGCGAGATTACTAATAGACATTTCTAACAGGCATTATAACTTTAATAGCATGTCCTGTTACATGACCATTTCTTAGATTAGATTATTACATTACATATTAAAGGCAACGCATTGTTAAAAGAGGTGTTCATGCAATGTCATGCTAATTCTAATGGCAAATCAAGTTTCATGGCCAACGGCATACAAGTGATAAACATATTTAGACGGTAATTTTTTTTATTTTTTTTGACAGCATGTAGAAGGTGTTCATGCAATGATAGCGCGTACGTAAAAGGTATTCATGCACGCAATGTCATGCAAATTCTAATGGCAAATCTAGTTAAGCTAAAACATATATACCATCTCACTACGGGAGAAATCGATCAAGAATTAGAGCTTCAGCTTAATTTATCCTATGTAGAAGCCATAAAAGGGGTTAAACGTTTATTTGTCAACAAATAAATACTATAACGTCGTATAATGTTGAAAACCAAAAAAAGCTTCAATCTAACGGTGAAATCTATGCATGTTTCTAAGACGAAAAGCAACTGCAAAATTGGATAAAGAAAAGAAAATACAGTAAAAGGAAAAGGAAATCATTTTTGGTGTCTATCACTGTTAGCCTCAGCTCTTCATTCAAGGC